TTTTTTTTTTTTATAAACTGCTACTTCTAAGAAAAGATCTTTTTTAGTTGACAATAAAAGAATACGGATGTGATAAAAAAAAAAAAGGGAAATAATTACAGGTCACTGCTGACAAAAAATTTGCAATGGCAACAAATCTAATACAAATCATTTTAAAAAACTCACTTGTTTTTTAACTTTACAGTTTTTTTTTCACTTATAGTTAGATTAAACTTCCAAATCCAGACTATCAAATCTGCCAACATTGTTTTTTTTCTCTTTTACTTTAGTTTTGTAAAACTTTTTTTTGCTGTAAACTTTTGATAATCGTCACTGTTGACAGACTCAGAAATGATAGTGGTAAATTTAAAAAAATTTTTACAATGTATATTATTTGACAAGTGACATATTGTGCTCGTATCTGTAAATCAGTCTTTTACTATTGTAGAAGATTTCCATGATTTAAGCTGCGATAAAATTTTTAGAAAAAGATGCATGTTTTTTGATTAAAAGGTATGATTAAGAAGCAATAATTTTATAAACTTTGGCAAAAGTTCCTGTTTTAGAAGAAAGTTTCTTGGCTTTTTCAGCTTTTTTGTTTTCTGAATGCAGCTAAACTTTGCAAATATGCTGCTACTGCTCTTCAGCATAAAAGAATTACGTGTTTCAATTTGTTGCAATTAATACTTCTATAAAATTGTTTTCAAAGACTTCTTTTTTTAGTTTCTTCGTATTGTTTAACGCTATATTTTTAAATAAAAGTTTTTTGTAAACAAAAATATTATGAGTGAAATTTGTACTATACTTTTTTTTCTACAGTTTAAAGCCGGAAGAAGTGAAAGTATTGACCAAACAGAAAAATGATGCTAATATATGCTCTTAAAGTTTGAAATTATTACTCTGTTTAGTGGTTTTTTATTTACAACAGAAAACGACACTTGAATTGTTTCAAAATAAAATTGTAGAATGAAAAGAAAAATAATGGCAAAAGTTGAGATAAACGAAAACGAGGGATGTAATACTGTTAGTTAAAAAATGAAGACTTTTTTGGGAGTGATAGCTAAAGTAAAAGACATAGATGAAAGTAAGGAAGGCAACTGGCTAGGAAAAAAAGTTTTAGCTTCGAACTACTTAACAACATGGTATTTATTTTTGTTGGTCTTAGTTAGACCGCAAAACAATGTTGAAGTTGTTCTCAGGTGGTCTAAAAAAAAAACAGATTTGTGTTATTGTGGTAGATAAGTTGTTGGCATTTTTCAAATTGGGGTTTATCAGTGCTAACTGCTGGGAAAAGTGTAAATCCAATGTGGCAGCAGCAGCAGCAGTAGCACCAGCAGCAGGTTTATTTCCAGTTTAGTTTCCTCTTTTTTTTTTCTGTATTTTACATATAATTAATGAAGCCAATAATACTAACATCAATAATATTGATAATAAATTTAATATTACTTGGGCTCTGTTAAGAAGGGCAGGACAGATATTTTTGAACATGAGTTTTGGAAATTTTTTTGAATTTTTTTTAGAAAGAGAGAAGAGAGGAGAGAATAGAGGTGGAATATTAATAAAGCATATTACATAGTACTTCTTTTTTTATTTTAAACTTTAAATTGACTTCATTAAATTCCAAAATAATTTTAAATTTGTTACTCTTTTTTTTCATGCTTTTAAAATCTTTTTTTTTTGCTGAAATAAATAAGAAAATTTTTGAGCTAAACGGAAAAAAAATTTTTTTTAGCTGACAGATTTTTTTCTATTTATTTTTTTCAAACAAAACTAAAATTATACATTTATTACACAAGAAAAAATCTCTTCTTAGTTCTTTTAATTTTCTGATTTTATCTGTGTCTATTACTGTGGAGCTATAAATTGATTGATATTGTTCTTGTTTTCAAGGTATTGGTAGTGTTATTTGTGATGTTGCTCATGTTGATGCTGATATTGCTGATTTTGCTGTTGCTGGTGATGTTGGTGATGGTATCTAATGATTAATAACTCAGAATTTGAGCATTTAATTTATCGACATCACCTGTAACGATGGTCAAGAAAATGATGTTATGCAATCTGTGCAATATTTAGTATTCATCTTTACGGCTATATATTTTTTTGCTGAATTGCTTTTCGCCTCGTAGTGCTCATATATTTTGATTCTGCCATTGTTCAGGAAAATTTTTTTGCTGCAGCAGTACTAAAAGTTACGATGAACTTTTTTGGTTGTTTTATTAGCAATTGTTAATATAATACCAGGTAAATCTACTGAATCAGGCGAACTATAAAACATTCTAAAATTTAGTACTGCTGTTGTTTTTTAGCAAAAATATTTTTAAACTTATGCCTTGTTGTTGTATTATGTTTGAACAGCCGTATAAGAAAAAGAAAAGGGGGTAGAAAACAGAATGAGACAAAGGCTTAGTTTAGCATATACGGACGAAAAAAAAAAATCATACAATTTTGGGGTTGCTTATTCAATACAAACCAACGATATTTTTCAGAAGGAACAACTGACTTTGACTTTTCCAACAGTCAGCTACT